AGGAATTCGAATTATAATTTACAGTTGATTATTAAGGCTAGGAACTAGATTTTGAGTTTTCATCACGAACTGACATCAGCTATAATGCTAAACTATATTTACCCAAATGGATGAATGAATTTCCCGCCAATATTCGAGACCAGTTACCTTATATTTGATTTGTTCGTCCATAATTAATAGTCTCGCCGCGTTGGTCAACGCGTTTAAGCAATTAACTAGGCACGGAAAACAAAATCTGTATTGTGGCCCGAACTTAGAGTACGTTTACAACTGATACATCATTACTATGATGAGAAAGCAACAAAATACATAGACAGATTGCTTTGAGAAATTCAACGTTTTCAAGACTACTCATGTTACAAGTATTCTTAATAAGTTATATCGAACTTTAATGAGCACGTAATTGTAAACAATTAACGTACCACGTGACCTTGAATTCGAGTGAAGCTCTTTTTTCCAATGCCATATGTTTTAAGGATGGCTGACATAAACAAAATAAACTTCATACTCCAGCTTTTTCATATTAGTCCCAGTTAAATTGGTATTCATTTGAAAGTTGGTATTTTTTATATATGATGTATGCTGTTTCAGAAGGATGGAGTTGCTAAAGATAGTCGTTTTTCCGTTACAAGGCAGTTGAAAAGCTGGTTGCAATGTGACGATTATGAAACCAGAAATGAAAAGAATTCTCAAAGTAAATCAGTTTTAAGATGGATTAATAGGTAAAGTATCTAAATAGTCAAATGAACAAACATGTGGAACAGATGACAATTAGTTAGGAATTTAGTGACTTTCACAGATGCCTCATAACACCTACTCACATTCATGATAAATTTTGGACAGAATGATTATTCCTATGCGGTCGATTGCCCTGTGACAAATTTTTTGTACTTTGACCTTGTCCATCACCAGCCCATAACATATTTTTATACATGATTGCGTACATAAATACCTATCCTTCTTACTTACTGGTGCTTTATAAATAGTATATTTGCGAAGATAAAGTGCAACTCTTGCTCAGGGTTTGAAGAGGACATCAACTTCTAGCCAGAATGTACATCAATAATGCTAAAACTGAGTAGACACAAGCGGACTGAAATAATATTAATACTGAAATAATACATTAACTGAATTTGTGTTAATACTCTAAATTCAAATCATCATCAATTCTATAGCAATGGAAATGACACTAGCAATAGAGTAACCGGCGATTGTACTATAGTGTAGAAAATCCAGGAACACTTCAAACTGGTTTAATCTGCATTGCAATGGAATGAGTCCAAACTGTTTCAAAACATTATTTAGTCAATCTTTCAAATGTTTACACACACATCCGAATAAACTGACACGACCAATGGTGGTGATAGTGTAGTGTCAGTCATTATTTTAAGCCCATATACATTATTCTAGTTTTTGGACAAACCAATCTATTCATTCTACTTGAGTCATATGTTGACCTTATCAATTATTCGCTTGTCAGTCTTGACTGTTTTTATATGAGCGTATATATGTGTGTGCCCTTCTTATTCCATTATTCACATGTCTGTAGCTTTATTTTGTCTGACTATAAATATTGAGTAACGCTTGACTAAAATGGAGTTGGCTAACCAGCCATCTTCCCTGCGTGTCACTTTGCTTTGCTCTGTTTCATTCGTCTCATATACAAAATATATGTATGCACCGGTCAATTCTCGTTATTTGACTTATTTAATTCTGTTATTGGCTAACGTGATTTTAGTCGACGATTATATACGAGAATAGGCGATAACAAACATTTATACGATCTTGGAGTCAGATCCACGGGCCACTAAAGGAGATCGCCCTTCCTCTCGAGATGCTTTCACATGCATTCAAAGTCGCTCCTAAGGAAGTCTTACACACCACTTTCGCGCGGCGAGGGTGATGTTTGCGAAAGTGAGAAGACGAAAAGCGAATAAATGATGAGTCTTGCTAATTGAATGCTGTATTCGGTTCTCAAGCTATTCTAGTAACTCCCAAGCTAGAACTACTCAACAACCTGAACATGAGAGAAAAGGCGCAAAATAAACGAGAAACACTTTACTCCAAAGGTGCGTTTTAGTACAGAAAATATAGGGTTTTTATAGTATTTTAGATTTTTTTGGTTTTCCCGAAAATTCCGGAATGCTACTAAACATAGAAGCAGTATAAGTAATCAGCCAATCAAAAACTCTACATGTGACTATTCATTTTCTCGATGTTTCTTGTGAACGCTCATTGTATAAAAATGCTTTCTAGTTTTTCCTGAGTTCTTTCTTGTCTTTTGCGAGAAGTTTTCTGGGTCACCCCAACAATACACGGAGCTCTAATTGGGTTGGTGGATATGAAGGACTACCTATGGGAATTGGAAAACTCCGATTCCAAACACATGGTGCAGGTGATCTTGTACTGGCACTGGACACTATCCACACAGTCCTCAAAGCTGAACACGAGACACTTGAGAAAATAGATGTTCAACATTTGATGCGGAGAAAAACCCAACGATGAAGAAGGCTGGAACAATGAATCGAATGAATTCGGATTGACCTGATGGCATGGCTCAGCCTCACAGGTGTGGTCGCTCTGTACAACTTGCTTTTACTCTTATTAAATACATTGTTCTATCTCCAGTTATATCATGACGAATCTGCAATTTTAGGATTAAGTCTATTGTGAAAGCAGTACTATTATCATAGTGAACCATAATTCAACAAGCTTCCGGATCCTGAAAAAATAAATGACGTGGGAACGTATTGTCATCAGCCACCATGAAAGTCCATTTCCTAACGTTTTTCCACTGCCTTGTAGTCTAGACCTCTATGCGAAAAACTGGTGGAGTGTTCTCGTCATACAAATCGAGTGACAAAGTGTGGTTCATATGTATTTGGTGTTTCCTTGTACTAATTTTCATTTGTTCAAGTTGAAAATGACGCAGGTATTCAGTGTTTGACAACGCTTTTACCAGCAACACCTTCTAATATAATTCGTTCTCACCCAGAGAAATCAAAAGGCAGAGTCGAGGAGATCGGAAGAGTGTATATGGCGATAACCAATATATCGGAATTCTCTGATCTAATCTGGCTAGCGATTGCAGTAGCAGTTGAGCACGGCGTTACCACACGTGATCTGGTGCGGACGCCTGGCCGAGCGCCTTTAGCTATATGAGTTCACTAAAACACATGGTCAGCATCCAATGTCGAAAACTTACAGAGCTATTTATTTTGGGGATTTGTTTACCGCTACAAAGTAAACAATACTGATACAGTATATCATCTATAATGATATTGTACACGTTGCATTGATTTCATAACCTCAATTTAAAATGGACTGATTTGTGGCCCTTGTTCAACTCAATGTTCATATTTAGTTTGTATTCAAAGCATGGACACTAATATCAATAATTGATTCACTGCATAATCAGAAAATTGAGTTGAAAACATGGCTCTCACAGCTACACTCGTGTTTAGTTTTTGTTAGATATCTATGAAATTCATGAAATTACAACTATTGATCTGTGACAAAAAGTTTTTAGTGATAGCTTTGCCGTTTACGACTTTTATGATAAACGAAAATTCGGGAAGCTCACAGAAAATCTTAAATGCAGTTGGCACAATCTGCAATCAAGCAGCCCAAGAGATGCAGCATTGGATTCGTGGCCTAACTGCGTAAGGGAGTAGATCTGAAGTGACAGAGGATGATCAAGAAAAAGCAGAGGCTAGAACAAACTATTTGGGGCAGTTTTCACACAGGAACTTATCCTAGACAAAGAAACGGACCCAAATACAATGTCAAAAACCATCTGCTCACCGTGAATTTTAATCAAGACGATGTGCTTAAGGCTACTCGCATTTTAGCCATGGAAAAGTAAACAGGACCTGATGAACTGCATCCCAAACCCCTGAGACGAATTGCACAATATGTAACAGCCACAACAATTGTGATAATTAATATGTCACTCGACCAAGGTGTGTTACATATGGTGTGGAAGGGTGCAATCGTTACTCTCATACATAAAACAGGACCAAGACAACTTCCATCGAACTATAGACCCGTTAGCCCCTCCAGTGTCGTGGAAACCAACAACTTGTTAGACAGCCAACATCATGGTCCCAGAAAAGGTTTATCTTGCACAATAAACCTCCTTATAGCAATCGAGCAATGGATAAAGACCCTAGACAATGGAAAATTAGTGGATGTTGTGTACATCGATTTCAGCAAACCATTTGATAAGGTGCCGACATATAGACTGCTCTTGAAGCCGGAAAATATAGGTATTGCCGGACTCCTAAAATAGCTTAAGGATTTCGTAGTAGGTCGTAGACAGAAAGCAATAGCGAATTCCAAATGCCTCACCTAGAAACCAGTACTTAGTAAAGTACCTCAGGGTTTTTTCCTAGGTTCTTCACCTTTTATGCTGTATTTAAATGAACTTCCAAGTATAGTTGAGTCCACAGTGTTACTATACGCTAATTTAAAACTCTGGCGACAAATAACAGGAAACGCAGATGCATACGTACTTCAGGAAGACCTAACTGGTCTGAGTAGTAGCTGATGGCTATCAACGCGGCGAAGTATGTCTACATGCACTTTGGGAATACAAGGGTAAATATGTACAATATAGGAGAAGTGCCTATACCCGTGGTTCGGTCTCACAAGGATCTTGAGGTGACAGTGAATCATGATCTTAAGACCACGGCCCATTGCCGAGAGGCAGAAGACAAGAATTTTAGATCCGTATGGGCTTTAAGAGGGACATTTACTAAGTTAGATACTACCATGTTCATTGCAGTATACAAAACCTTAATAGAGCCCAAACTTGAGAACTGGGCTCAGACTGAAAGCAATTGTTTCAAAAGAAACTCACAATAGATCGAAACATCTCAGAGGACATAGCAGGTGTACGGCCAGTGAAATGTCACTGAGCCCCAACCAAATAACTAGGCATTTGGGTCACTGAATATTGAACAAATCATCGATCCCCGTAAAGGTCAAGGACAACCAACACGCATCAGTTAATCGTACGCCATGGACTGGCCCATGCGGTGGTGGTCTTACTTTCACTTGTATCTACTTTAACTAAGATATTTCTGTAATAATGTCCATTGTGTTGTACAGTCTTCAAAGCATCTATAGTACCTCGATACGTCGATGGGGTAATCCACGTAAGGTGCTGACCGCGAGGTGTGACTTCGACGTTAGCTGGTTCGTCACACAATTCCCGTCTAACTCTAATAAGCCTCCAGTCATTCGAGATAGATCATCTACACTGGTGATTTACACAGGCGAGTATAAAGGCGAGGAATCAACAAAATGCCCTTTGCACACAGATTTTAACACTAAGTCAGCAATTCTGTGAACCCGTTACCCGAAGCAGTAGTGCCTGCACCTTTAATTGACTCATTCAAGAGAAAAACAGACACTCATAGAGTCACGCTAGAAAAGGAGTAACATGGGAAATAGGCGTTTTGTTCTTACTACACAAATCTGAACCGAAATATGAATCCGAACGCTTGATTAAATTGAGTTGTCTCACTTGCCTTCTCCGGCCCGCTTCGCTCTCCCCTCTTCGTCATGAGTACATAAAATCCAATTATTTAATCCCGTTATTCTCTAACGTGGATTATGTCGATAAATATATACGGAGGTAGGTGGGATTTTTATTTCTATAACAACCAGTATACAATCCAACTGGAATCAAACATAGAGCTTCTAGGCAGTTAAATGGCTTGCTCACACACACTGGACGACATGATTTTCCTGAATCTATGTCAGTGCATCAAGTATCTAGAACAAAGAATTAATTAAATTATGTAAATTCGTCTTGACGATATTGGATGTCGTACGAAGACAATTTAAACCTTCCGCCCTATTCAGGTTTAGGGTCATCAAATGTGATTTTATGGCTGTGTTTGTGTTGGTAAGGCTTTCCAGGACTATATGTAATATGGAAAATCTTGATTCTGTCGAAAAACTTATTTCTGTCTTTTGAGTGGTTGTTTCTTGTCAGCCTAACAGTGTAGTTGTGGTGGAGACGTCCGAATCCCATCTTCTGACTCCTGGGTCTGATCTCTTCACTTACTTCAGTTTAAGCATCTGAAAAGTGTTATTAGCCGGTTTCTGAGTGTCTGAAGAATGAGTTGGCCTGAATTCTAGATGAAACTATAGTTTATGAACGACACTTAGGTGACGCTAAAGTGAAATTGAAAGTGTCCACCTACTTACTTGTGTTAAATGAGGTTTACAAACCAGTGTGAGTTATTAGGATTAGAATTTATGTTTAGAATTTAGGGTTGGGAATTAGAGTTGGGGTCTTCATCATGAACTGACATCAGCCACATGAATGAATGAATTTCGTTTCTGAATCTAAGACTGGTCATCCTAAATACGATCAGTTCGTCCGTAAATTATGATATCGCTCCTAACGCAGTGTGACAGTTTGTAGCTGTAAACACGATGTAGTCCTACAACCAATGACTTCACGAAGTAGTTCCACTTTTTGGTTTGGCCACTCATCTGTTCTTCAAATTAGTTTACAGCAACCAGCTCTTCCCGTATCTGGGCTATGGTGATATTTGCCTTACCAGTCAGTTAACGAGGACTTAATCTCATCAGTTTACTTATTTTTACTCTTCACAAGGAAATATAAAGCAATTAGTGATTGTTGAGAATCTAAAACTGGGAAATTTATTGCGATTTTCTCACAGTCCGAGTATTTGGGCTAGTTCCCATATCAAATATACTCTGTACTGGTAGAATCATATTTATCCATACAACGGTGACATTTCTTAGTAAGATACTTCATAAGCTTAAAATTTCGTTCGTTGTAAGTATCTATCACTACATATTCAAAGGAGTTTCACAATGATCCGATTACTATCAAGTCCAAAGTAAGATGGTATGGTAGTTTATCAATACAACAATTTTCAAATTTATAGCACTTTGAAATAAAAATGTTCAATCTTGACTTTTCTTTTTTTAGTCCCAGATGCTGTTTAATGGGCTAGTGGAAGTGAATATTGTTATTCTCCATACACGAAGGCATTAAACCAAACGATAGAAAAATCATACTAGAAAATTTGTTCCATATGTTCCTACTTTGAAGCAATTTCCTTCAGAATAATTACTATATAACTATGGAGTGCTTCTGCCACTGTTTTGTCTGGATACCATTTTTTATTTTGCTCCAAGGGATTTGTGAGGCTTATACACAACAAAAATTACTTGTAATATCTTTAGATGGTTTCAGTCATAATTATCTAGATCGTGCTAAGCTTCGGAATGTCAACATTTCCTCTTTTGAACGGATTTGGAAGACCGGAATACGTGTTATGAAAGTACATAATGAGTTTATTACTCGAACAGGACCAAATCACTTATCACTAGTCACTGGGATGCATGAAGAGAGTCATGGTATTGTTGATAATGTGTTTTATGATCCTGAGCTTAATGATACTTTCGACTTGAGTAATACGAGGCATTTATCACAATTAAAGTGGTTTGATGTTGGGTCTGAACCAATTTGGGTTACAAATCAACGTCATGGTCATAAAAGTGCTGTTACGTTTTGGCCAGGGAGTAGTACACCATTCAAAGGACAATTACCTAGTTTTTATTATTCCCAATATAACCATCAACTTCCTTTAGTTGATCGAATTAATCAAACCATTAAGTGGTTAAATTTAGATGAAGTGACACTTGGTCTAATATATTTTCATGAACCTGACTCACAGGGTCATTTGACCGGACCTGATTCTGTTGAAATTTTTACTGTTATCGAGAAGTTAAATGATGATATTGGGTACTTACTATCTTTAATTGATACTAGGCCATCTCTAAAGTCATCACTTAACATTATTTTAACAAGTGATCATGGGATGTCTGGAGTGGATGCTAACAGAATAATTATTCTGCATGATTATATCAACGAGAGCATGTATTATAGTCCGGGGTCAGAGGATCGTGTGTTTTGGTCATTATGGCCAAAAGATGGTAATTTGTCCGTTCATATAAACTTTTCTATATGTTAAAAGGGAGCTCATCTATTAATCTCTACAAAAGACTGGTCGGAAAACATCCAAAGATGAATGTTTTTCTGAAGGATAATGTACCTATTCGTTTACACTACTCGAATAATCGACGAATAAGCCCAGTGGTAGTTTATTCGGAGCCTGGGTGGACAATCGTTAGATCACGAAAATCGGTTGCGAAATTTAGTAAGTATAGTATTTTAAGTATTGATATGCGAGTCGTCTTACTTGTTTTGGTCACATAAACAGCTTCATTTGATTTTATTATCCCAAAATTTTTCCAATTTCTGGTATAAACTATTCTTGTTCAACTTTTAAAAATCAAATTGGTTGTGTCAGCCAAAATCAAAAGTATAAATGAAGGAAGATAGGTACTCAGATGATTCCTTTATATTTTCATCTAAAATTGATAATATTAAACTCCTGCTTGCTGCATTGCAAAATCTGTTATCTTATGACCATTCGTATTTTTTGAACAATAAAAGTGAATCATAGAACTACTATCGATTGTTTTGAAGATTTCAAGCTAAGTTACGTCTATGCATAAACCCATTTTTCACGGATGCCTGGACTTGAGTATGTTCAAGAAACAGTTATAGAGTTTGTCTTATCAATCAGACAGTAATGTAGAGCCCGAAGCAAATATGCATCGTTCAAAGTTCACATGCAATATGAACACAGTGAGATGAAATTATCAAAATGCATACCAAAGTATCAGTGGTAGCAAAAATACTGGGTTTAAAGAAAGTAATTTGCTGTAAAGAATATATTCGCAGAACAAAAAGTATTGAGTTTTGAAACATACGTTCTGGGAGTAAACAAACAGTGAATGCATCTACTCCATTTCGACCAATTCCGAGCTATTTTACCCAAGGTTTACAACATATAGCCACGTTTTTCATACCAACCCCAACCTGCCAGTATTCACCTGTCGTTCTGTCTAAGAGTAACAATCAAAATTTTAGAAGCTCAAATTGATCATTTCACTTAATCAAATCTTTAATATATCTAGGTCTTGACATCCCATCTGTTCACATATTTATGGTGGTAAATAAAGTCACTTCTGTCTTATTGCTTCAGGCACTATTTTGAAAAATGGGTCACAACTTCGAACTGTGCATCATCTGTCCAGTCTTGGGCAGTCATTTGGCGTCAATAACGTTTATAAAAGTATGGATCATAGGTTATATTCTCTGTGTCATATTTTTGATATGATGAGATAGAATTAGGTTCAACAGTTAGGACTTAATCCATTGAGTAGTGAACGACCCGAAAAATTAATACTGGTCAGTCGTTTATAATATTTAGTCGTGTTATTTTCCTGTTAATAATTTTTATATGAATATACTATCCGATCGCAAGAAAAACTCGTACTTTTGTCTAGCGGCCTTAATTTAAACTACAAATTATTCAAGGACTTACATCAATAATTCGGTCCTGTGAAAATTCATTACTGTACTACATTGTATTGTATCATCTATCGATCCGTATTCTTTTGATCCTTCTTAGCCATTGGAAATTTCAACAAATCATAAAACCTCACCTTATGATAACTTCATTTATTCTCGATAAATACGTTGATAGTAGGTCGTCAGATGTAATTGAACCTTCTAACATTCAAATATTTATTCTGTGATTAATAAGGCCATTCATTTAGTTTTGACACTCCGCTATTCACCTTAATACAATTACTCATTAGATTTCAATCTCCTGGTCAATTCTATTTAGTTATATATTGGATTCATTCAGTAATGCTCCTTGTTTACTGTATTTCAGCTAAACGTGGAGATCATGGTTATGATCCGGACCATGATGAAATGTCTCCATTCTTTCTAGCTACGGGACCAGGTTTCAGGAGCACGATTGTTGGTGGCGGTCAAATAATTAGTTCTATTCATCTGATTGATATTTATCCACTAATGTGTGCCTTACTCAATTTAAATAAACCAGCTCCAAACAATGGTAGTTTATCACGTGTGATGTCACTCCTTCATGATGGTAGTGGTGTTAATGTCTACTTCTCGAGTTTTCTGGATATGTTCACTGGTTAGTTTATTCAATAGTTTGCTCGAAGTTATTTGTCACTCACCACGCACATACAATGTTGACAGATTCTCATCTACTGCTTTGTAATTGTTACATTTTCCCGTGTTAGAGATGCTAGACCCCCAGAAATCACCTGATAAACGTCTTATTTCTGTAGTTTTTGGAAGTTTGAATTTCTCGTTTTCGCGCTAAAAGTGCCCAGTTTTACCTTTAGATTGTATTTCCCACTTGGAAGGACGGTAAATGTCATTGACTCGTTGCCTGTTTTAATACGCTATTTTATGATGAACATATATACTTGGTTTCTCGTGCTTCTGGCTGCTTCTAGATTATACATTTTCTTTATCTGAACCAAGTCTTCTCCCTGGAGTAGCAGGGCTGGGACGCATCGGAGTAATTAGTTTGTCTTGTCTTTGTGTCTCTGACCCTTCGTTCCGTCCGCCGATTTTAGGTGATCTCATGATCTCTTCAAACATAACATTCCCTATTCTCCACGAGTTATTTAAATCGAAGTATGTGTGGTTCACTTCTAAATCCTCAGTATAACTCAAGTCTTCACCATCACGTTCTCCGTCACAAAACATTTTGCCATTTTTGATTACACAAAATACACAATGTCTCCGGAGTTACTCGTTACTATGTTCATTTTATTAGGGTGTATGTCATTTGTTATGAAGGATAAGGATAGATCAGTACAATAGGATATTAATATCAGTTACGGATATTAGCTGACTAATACACCGAGACAAACAACAGCTCATAACATAACAATCCTAAAATCTAGTCAACTGTTTTATCTTTAAGGCCATTAGGAGCTGATACATAAAACAATAGGAATTATCTATTGTGATTTAAGATATATGGTTGGAAGATATTTAAATGAAATCAGGATTTTGAATTCCATATAATCTGTTGTTATGCTTTGAAAGCCATCTAAAAGTTCCATCTTGAAGTTAGTTATCGATTTCCTATTTTACTCTACGTCAAAGTATTTAATACGGAACTCAGATAGCATAAGTAATAACAATAATAATAGATTCCGAGAATTATTGCATCATTTTACAGGCATGATCAGGTTGATACAAAACATTACTAAGTAACACTAGTAATAACTATAAGTCTATTCTATCTGGAAGATGACTTCTAATCATTTTGGACAAATCTGATTTTTTTAAAACGCAAAACTTTCAGTGTAATAGAATGGATATGTGTATCCGTGAAACGATTTTTCAATACAACATTAATGATTGTTTACACTCCATAGCATAGCAAAATCAATTTTCGTAGGCATAAATTCTCTACAAATATACAGACTGGTAGCATATACAGAGTTACTAAGCATATGGCATAAATGTACCCTCAGCACTCTTACGGAGATGCAAAACTTATTAATCAATATATATAACTTAATGGCTAATTGCTATGTTTGAAGAGATTACGAGTTCGCCTAAATCTGCGAACGGAACGAAGACTGAACAACACAATAACCAATAAGATAGCTATTCTGAGGCGTTCCAGCCCGTCTAACTTGAGTGAAGTCCAGGTTCAGAAGAGGGAAATGTATTCACAAGCAGCTAGAAGCACGCACAACTTAAGCGTATATATACAGCATAAAAATGTCTTTGGGAAACGTTACAAAGTAGCAGATTAAAAAAGACAACAAACCGATGATATTTAAGTTCCTCCCAAGTGGGGACAACGACATGAAGGTGAAAACGGGCGCTTTTGATGCGAGAACATAAAATTCAAAATTAAGTTACAAAAATAAGACATTTACCAAGTTAGTTCTGGAGATCTAACATCCCCAAGATTCATACAGTAAATGTCGGCTCATTATCATAAATATTAGACTAGTATTATACATATTACAGTTCTCTTGTATTATAACTTAATCCGAATATTATATCAAGAGTTACGAATTATTCTAATTCAACTTAGTAAAAATTACGTAATTTGTCCACCCATTTATGAATCACACTATAAGTTCTGTTAATTAATATTACATATTTTCTCATAAGAGGATTAAGTGAAGTGGATTTCAAACCTCCTATTCAATAAACCGTATGTCAAGTATATCACCCATTATATAAGATAGCTATCCACCTGTGTTACTAATAATATCCTTATCAATCTACTGTTTGCACAGTATAATATAAGTGTGGTGGATGGTATTTATCCCGGCACATATAAGTAGTATGTATCACCAGTCGCGAGTGCAATATCTACCAAGAGAAGATTGAATTAAGAAAAAACAGGAAGGGAAACAGAGAACAATTGAAATAACAACATAATTAGAACAATCACAAAGTATGGAAATAACAACTGAAGAATGTGCAAATAATGTGATCATTGTATAGCTTCCATATTTTGAAAAGATGTCGTGTGTAATTTTACACACAAAAAGACAATAAATTGTTTCACATTACCCGAGCTCTCGTTTGCTACATAGGTATCGTATCATAATTATTTGTTCGAGTACCTGTTTACTCATTTTAACCGGTACTGTTTTAATCTAACCTAATTGTTCACTTGCTCATTCATATACTACCAATGTTACATTCTTTTTACTTGACTATATTTATTTATTTATTTAAACACATAAATATTGGTACAAGGAGGCACCAAGTAGATATACGCCACACAGACCTCATTTGATATGTGTGAGGGCTGTGATACTGCCTTGGTGCCCAAACCGAAGCAAGTGGTTTTCTTAGGGGGCCACATCCGGAGCCTTCAACCTAAAGTTCTGACCCACAAGGCAATGGAGTATCGTGAGGAGATGCAGTCCCATGGTAGCCGGTGACCAAGGATTGTTTTATACGCCATTTGTTCCCGCAGGATACTGGAGCCCATGCGCACCATTGGTTTGGAATGAGGGTTTTCCAACTCCCCTATGTGGACTCTCCGTGTCCACCAACCCAGCTAAAGCGCCGGACATTCGCTTTTCGTCCTCTCAATTTCGTAAACGACACCCCCGCCACGAGAAGGCAATGAGTAGGACTTCCCTGGCAGAGACTGTATACTCGTGGCCATGTGAGAGCATTTCGAGAGGGAGAGCGGGCCCACTCTACTCTCGGCCATACCAGGGCATTTGGGGGGTACTTGACTATAAGTCTATGACTTCATATATATATATATATATATATATATATATATATATATATATATATATATATAGCGAGAGAGATTACTTTTGATGATAGTATATGCTTTTTTAATCTGATCTTATTGTTTGTGTTCTTCTCTTCTCCAAAAATTGATCAATCAAAATAATAGTCGGAATTGTTTTATTATGTTGTACAACCGTATCAATTGTATACATAATATGCACATGTATTTCATCTAAAGATTATCTATTTCCTGATGATGATAATAACAATAAGTTAAAACATTCTATTTATCAACCAAATTCATTTCTACTTCAACGACGTTTACGTAATAAATCTCAACATGATAAACAAAAACAACAATATTGTAATATTGAATTAAATAAGATGAACACTTTAAAAAATAAAATAAAAACAAAAAATAAATTCTATGAAATGTATTTAAAAGATGAATCAATTAAAGAAACAACAGATAGACAACGATTACTTGATTATAATATACGGGATAGTAATGTTCCCAATAGTTACAATGTCGGTCGTCATGATGATGATAGTGATGATGAAGAATATAATCGATTTTCTATTCAACATATAGATGATGAAACTTTTTTAAATTTACTTCGTCAACCAAATAGTAAATATCCTTAAGAATGCTTAAAATTTTTATTCTATTAATCTATTAGTGGCTTATTCTTTCAGTCTCTTACTTTGTTTCTACATGTTGTGATATTGAAATTTGTGATATATATGACCATAGTGATTTAGGTGCATTATGATTTGAAATTTATATAGATGGCTGTGTTTCATGTTATTATTGTATTTTATGCATAGGCAAGTGGCATAAATTTTTGTGTTTTCTTGTTTTTATTATATTTTCAAATAACTGTATCTACTTTTGATTACTTCGTTTATGTATATGTATTGACACATACTTGTATGAACATGTATCATTTAAGGTATCAATTCGATTATTACTTTTTATGTATGTGATGGATATTTGTGATATTTTGCCAAGTTTTCTTTGGTTATTTTTGTTTATGAATTTTTATTAAATATTATTTAGTTACTAATTTTTTTTTAAATGTTTCATTTTGATTAGATTTCATGAGTGTCATCTATCGTAATGTGTTGTGTCCGAAATCTGATACTAACAAGGTGTGCTACGTGTTAACCCCCCCCCGACTGACTACTTGAGCGAGAAAGTGTATTGGGCTACCCGATGAAATACACTTGACCTTTAGGTGACTTGTAATTGCCATCGATTAAACATTTCATTAGGCTACTCCTTATTGGCTCTCCATATCATCTATCACTAACCCTACTGGATCGTTAGTTGATCGTTACAAGAATCATACTAAGGAATACTAATATATACGAGATTTAATTTCAAATGAAATTACTGAGATTAGCGAGTGGAAAGTATCAATTTAGAAGGGAATGTGAATGATAAATTCAGCTCGGTGGTATTGTAACCGATTTTATGCCATATCACTTTTACCAATGTGAATATCTGCTCCTCTTGAAATGTTTCATTCTAGCCATTAATGGTATCATGAACAGATTCTGTCCCTTAATGAGTCTTTTTTAATTTTTATGGAGCTTGGCATAAATATGCATGAGCTTAAGTCATCACACCATGTCAGCACGGGGAGATGAAATCAACAAAATAGATATCGAAGAAGCAGTAATAATCACAACAATAATAGTGAGAAATTTTATGCAATTAGTTCTCTTTATGAATTTAAATAAAGCCAGAACAGAACATACATGGATGCAGAATAATGTGAATTCATTATATTTCGTGGTTTCTCATCAGCTGCTTACAACCAAATATGTATTAAAATTTTACATTTAGGTAACATATAATGTGAAACGATTGACATAGATATATGAGAAGAATTGAAATGAGAAAGGTTGGCCGCTGAGAATATGATTCCGGAAGATGGGATGAAAAGGTATATAGGAAGTATTCAGTAAACAAAGTTTAGTATTAAAATAAATGGACCTGGATCGTTGTAACTACTTCTGACCCATGTCTTCAATCGATCATAGCCTTTACCATGTGGGTCTCCATCAGGCATCTCACACCCACCAACAGTCCATGATTTCATGTGCTGATGACATGTCTTGATTTGACAGCTTCCTTCCACACCAGACAACAAACGCACTTCGAGGTAGACGGTGGATGGACATATAAACGTGATTTATTCTTAACCCTTTACACCATAAAAATGTTCAGAGCTCCCAAGATGTTGGTAAAGGGTGTGTTACTTTTCTATTACTTACTTACGTCTGTTACTTCTCGTGAAGGAGCATAGGCCGCTCACCAGCATTCTCCATCCAACCCTGTCCTGGGCAGTCCTTTCCAGTTTCTATTCATATCTGCTTCTATTATCCGACGTAATGTGTTCTTTTCTATTAAATAACTTTAATAAGTATTTATCTAACACTTTGAAAGAAGATCACCTTTAGCTCGGTGATAAAAACACCTATTTAAATGACAACTCAAAGTTCGGTTTCTAAGATTTGGAATGTTTATGGTGTTTTCATGGTGTATAATAAGACTAGATATTGTGATTGGTTGATTAGTTGTCGATCTGCAATTTAGTTAATAGATAGACCGTACATATGTGTGCAATGTATGAAGACCATTCAACCGTTCTTAATAATCAAATCAAATATGTTTAGGTCATTCATACTGTATTTTCATTTTCCCTCCATCAACCAAGTCTGAATTGAGAACTATTTTCAGCTATATTATTTCATACTGAAGGTATTCCAGATATAAGATTTGTCTAGAATATCTCAAACAGATTATACTCGTGGCTCTGATAAAAATTCCCGAGTGACATAATTAGTTGAGAGACATTTCGCGTAGATATTGGTAAGATCAACCTCAAAGGAACACAATGATCCTACTGTGAAAACCAGCTTGATGGAGTTGGTGAAACCTGCTTTTAATAAAATCGAAAGCCTCGTTTATAGGCCTTTCTTAAAGTATCTAAGAAGCTCAGAGGGCATTCAGGGGCTCTTTCGAACTGCCAAAGTTGGCGTAGTTACAGTTGTACTATCGCATGGATAGTTTCTGAATCTAGTAAAATGATAAATTGTTTTGACTGCTCTCAGAGTATCCGTCACCTGGCTATCCTCCATAGTTGTTATTGTAACGGGTTCTACATATGACACTGTTGGCCCTGTAACTTATTTGGTAAAGCGAAAAATCTACTAACGAAATAAAACCCACACCTAGTCTTCCTTGAGTGCATCATAGAAACCGCAAACTTTTGTGGCCAAATGCGAAGTGATGGAAAATCTAATTCATGAAAGTTCTCCGTACTCAGGTTAAAGTAAACTTAAAAAGAAAGAATATTTAATACTTATGACAGAACTGTTCCGCGTCTGACTTCTGTTTTTGCAATATTCAATGATATTATTTTAAAACATTACGACCCTTATCGATCTTGGAAAACTTTTGGAAACACTGGAAAGCTGTTTAGACTATGCACGAGACTTATCTGCTTTACGCGTACTCGACTCCACTGAGGATCGTACCCAGGACATTCAACCTTAGGAATGGATGCTTAACTGCTAGACCACAATCGGTGATCAATAGTGTTCATGTGCAATATCACAATTGATTAAATTTAGACATATATACTAGTGGATCCTAGTTCAGTTGTCTAGAGGCTAAGGGCTTTCGTACAAGACCGAAGGTCATGGATGCTCAACACTAAGGAGTTCAATACTAAAACTGAACTGGTGTTTAGTGCTTCCTGGTTGTCAGTGGTTTTCTAACTAATATCAATCAGTATTATAATCCAGCAATCTATAGTAATGGTGTTATTTTGTCTACCACACCTGTTGTTATATTTATTATGCCAATTTTTAATCTGATTATCATCAAAGTTTAAAGCATTAAAGTAGCAAGTGTTTATATTCATTCAAAATTTGATTTAAAAATGTCTGTTATAAGTTGGTGATAGATTATTTGTTGTAAGCTTCCATGTTACTTCAGGATTTCGCACTAAATAATGATGTTTAACAAATACCACATTTCAAACAAACGTAGATTTGCTACAATTCGCACGAACTTCCAACTCTTTAATTCCTATCGATAGGGTTAACTATTCTTTCGATCTCACTAGTTGTACCAGCGATATATGGTTGACTGATGGTCAAATATCAAGGGAACTCCATTTTTACGGCTCCAGTTACAGATAAGCAAAAACAATTTAAAACCTATCACAGTCATGTACTAGTCTAAGCTGTTACAATAGGAGAGCGAATAGAAATAATCAGATGAAAAACTGAAAACTAAAAGGAATTAGTGGAGCTATCTCATTGTCATATATGTTGGAGTATATGTTCCAGATTCCTGTATCATTGTCTTCTTTTGGCTCATTAAACTAGATCAGCTCATATTCTTATCCCTGAACAGTTGCCGTCAAGATATATATATATATATATATATATATATATATATATATATATATATATATATATATATATATATATATATATAATGTGAAAACCATACATTCAAAACTCCATGTGCAAATCCTCCATCAAATGTCTCAAAATTCATCGTCTCTTATTGCCATAAAAATTACTCTCTGTTCCCGTTCTCTTCGACTCGATCTTCCCAACCTGCTGCTGCTGCTGCTAGGCATTCCACTTCTGTTTTTTGTTATAAATTACTTATCTCGACACCATATATATATACATAATGTGACATAAAACTAACTATACTGGTAATAAAACTAAATGATTGATTATGACTTTGAACCGTTTTATAATCGATAAGGTTTTCTCGATTTGTTTTACGCAACATCCTTTATCACTGCCTAGTTCATTATTATTATTATTATTATTATTATTATTATTATTATTATTATTATTATTATTATTATTAAATCATATATTTAAGCAGACAGTTTAGAGTCTTATTTATGGATTTGTTCACCCAAAAATCAATACAATTGAACAGAATTATTGAAAATATTGATTTTAAAAATTGTAAATAAAAAGTCAGAGACAATTGACGATAACACTCACCAATATGGATTTGTGAAAATTATTAAGATTTTGATTGAGATAATGAACCGATTGATGTTAGATCACCACTGAAAGCACTGGTTGGTCGTCTCATCCTATTGTGGGACTCTCCAGCGGTGTCCACGATCCCGCTTGCGGGATTCGAACCCAGGACCTCTGGTCTCACGCGCTAACGCTTAACATCTAGACCACTGAGCCGGCATCCAACGGTGTTAATGTCTAGCTTCAACCAAACCACGAAATTATGTCACCATTCGCCATTGTCTTCGATAATTTACTATCTCACAACAGACCCGGTTGAACTCCACTGGTCATGAAGTGATTAAATCTGGAAATGTAGGGCTACTGAACCACAACTAAATGATGATGTCGTAAGTTCATACTTCCAAACAGTCCCATACAAGCGATGCTTGAATTAATTATTCTTTCTTAATAAAGAAGAACAATATTAACAGAATAAAATGAGTTCATTATATTTCAAGGCTTCTCATCAACTGCAAAGAGCCTATATGTACTGTAGAAATATTATTAGAAGGGGTTTTGTGGAGACTGTAGTAATTTCAATAGTTGAAATCATGAGTCAGTGCATGCTCACTGCTGTGGACTCCCACAATAGTTCGAAACGGCCGTCCAGTGCTTCCAGGTTTTCCATGGTAGTCTAACTTCGATTGACTCATGATCTCAACTATAGAAACATTATTATAACAAATATTATTACATACCATAATTAATGAACTTTAGTTCAACAAAAATCTTGAGAAACATGAAGAAACTATATATTTAAGTTAATAGTTAAGAATGTTTTGTATTTCATTTCATATATTGAAAGTAAAAGGGAGAAGTGGTGACGTGTTGGGGGGGGGGTCGGTAAGGTTGTAAGTGATCATAAAGAGACGATGAATAAAAACAAATCGTTAACATTTTTTGAGTAATAATAATATTTCTGGAAGCACTGAACGGTTATTTTGTCCTATTGTGGGACTCCTCAGCAGTGCGCATCCAAAACTAAAAT